GGAGGCTGAAGCAAGCTGGGGACGGGGAATGTAACTCAGTTGGTGGACAGGTTCTCTTAGCATACATTAAGCCTTAGAGTTATCTTCAGCTTCTGGGGTTGTGGCGGCACACGCCAGTTATCCCTGCACCTGGGAAGTGGAGGCAGGAGGATCAGGGGTTGAAGGCCAGCCTGAGCTAAAACAATGCTCTGCCTCAAAACAAAAAATTCAAACAAACAAAAAAACCTACTGAGTACATGAACGTGTAGCTCAGCGATAGGACACTTCCCCAGGATGTTAGAGGCTTTGGGTTCGATCTTTAATACTACAAAAACGTCATTATCATCAAGCAAACATCTCCATCTGCAGCAGGATGCTGCTGGACTGCAGGAGAGAAGGATGCTTGCTCACTGCTCACAGGCATGCCGGTCCTCTGGACCGGTTCTGTGCCAGAAGGCAAGTCACTCAGCCCTTCCACTCCTTTCTTTGCTCCCAAACAAGCACCCAGCCCTTCTTCCTTCCTCAAGGGGCTGGGGTCAAACTCAGGTCCTTTCGCACGCCAGGCAAATGCCGCATCACTAAGCTACTGGTCCTTACCACACTACTTCTGAGAATACTGCAGCTTCTAAGAGATCTAGTCTACAAAAAGAAGCACACCAAGCAGACAGCACAGGTTGCTGGCCGGCTCCGTGCTCTCCCTCTCTCCCCTGTGTGCACACGATGTGGAGGCCAGAGACTAATGGTGGGTGTCTTCCTCACTCATGCGCCACTTGATTTATTTTGAGAGTCTGAATCTGGAGCACACAAGCTTGGCTAGACTAGCTGTCGACAAGCCTCTGGGATCCTTGGACCTCTGCCTCCCCAGTGCGGGGACTACAGGCGGGCACCCCTGCACATGGCTTTTTCTGTGGGTGCTAGGGATCCAGCTCAGGTCCCTAGTTCACACAGAAATCACTCACCCGCTGAGCCGTGCCCCTAGTCCTCTCCTTCTAACTGGAAACTAGAAGTCAGTACTTTGGACCTAGCCAGAGGCTAAAGGCTAAGTTCTAAGGCAGGTGGACTTGGGGATGCCTCAAAGTGGTTTTAAACATCACTGTGCTGTAGTTTTCCTCCTGTGTAGAATTTCTGTCTGTAGCCAAATACCTCTTTTTGGATGATAACATGTCCTCATAAAGTTGAGAGCTGCATGGGACATCAAAAGACCATAGCAAAGTTTAGGACAGGGCCAGGTGTGTGAAGTTCATTGTAAATATTACCATTGTCATGATCCTGTGAGTTTCACTAGCATAAATACCCCTCCCCATATACCTTCTGGACTTGAAAGGATCCTGACAGCAGCTCTGGCACTCCCAAAGGCACCCTGCCACCGAAGGACCAAAGGGTTTTGTCTAAGGAATGAAAGCTGGAACCATCCTCAAGGGGAAGGGAGGGCGCCCTGTGGCTCCATGCTGTTCTTTTATGTTCCTCTCCCCACAGCCAGAGTGCAGGAAAGCAGGTGGCAGCTGGCCTTCCTGCAGGGCTGGTGAAGTGTGAGGAGGAATGGATTTGGTTGGATTTGTTATACTGACTCCAAAGCAGAGCAGAGGTGGGGCTGTATGGCTCCGCCCTGTATTAGGTTTGAATTCTAACCAATGGGGCCTATGCCTTGCAGTTTGTTTAAACCCAGGCCAGAGCTGTTGAGAGAATGATGGATAATGGGTGTGATCACCCCTACTCTATCTCCTCCTTGGGGCCTAGCTGACTTGTGAGGGAATGGCTGACTTATTCTGGTGGCAGGGTGCCACTGCATTTTCTGGTAGGCCTCCTCCAGCAATCCCAACATGCTAACTGTCCCTTCCCTTTGTCCCCAGTTACCAGAAAGTGGCCCTGAGGCAAGCTGATATCATCTCCCCTCCTCTATGTTACCCCCACCCCCAGCCTGTTCACGGGCTCTGTTTTTTCCAGCCCTCTAGAGTTGGGCTTGCTTGGCCGTCCGTTTTCCGTGGGTTGCCTGGTCTTTACCAGAAAACTCCTTTTACTTACCTCCCAATCACAGCCCCTGCCAACCACCGGCGTCCATCTGTTCCCACCCAGAAAGGAGCAGACAGGGCTGGGGCTCCACTCCCCCCTCTCCTCCATCTATCCACAGCCACTATAAAGAAAGAGACTAGGGAGGGGGGAGGGGCCAAGCCAGGCCCAGAAGGCACAGGGAGAAGGAGGAAGGAAACAAAAGAGAGAGGACACAGCTTCTGGGAGAAGAGAGAATGGGTAGAAATAATGCAACAGTGCCATAGAGCAGGCTGGAGGTCTCTGCCTGGCGAGCCTCCTCTCCTTGGTGGACTCACCGACGTGGCAATGGCCATGGCTCTAGCCTCCAGCGTCGCCTGCTTCAGACCAGGCTCAGTTTCGCTGACTTCAGCGATGGCTGCCCCTCACCATGGTTCCGGCCTCCAAGCCAGAAGGTCACCCCAAGCTGTGGCTCTTGAGGAGTTGCCTCCCCCAAAGTTGGAGGAAGAGAAAACCCACAAAACTTTCCAAATGGGAGGCAGCTTGGCCAGGCAGGAGGAGGAATGGGGCGGGCCTGGGCGTCGCTGCGGGACCTCATCCAAGGGGCGCGCTCTAAACTGTCCCCAGGGTCTCTCGGGGGGCACTAGGCCCACACGGCTGTGGCCTTAGGCTGCAGGGGCCTCTTGGACACACATGGGCCCAAAGCTCACGTCCCAGGCCAGCGAGGCGAGGAGGCTGGAGCTGCTGCTGCGTTCGACGCCTCTCCAGGCAGCTCAGGCTAGCCCCGAGGGCTGGGAGAAGCTGCCCGAGTGGTTGGGCTGGATGAACGACTCCTGGGGCCAACCCTCCCCCAGCGGGTGCTCCCAGGGCTGTGGTCGCGGCTGCCGGGGCACTGCGGCGGGACGACCCGCGGGGAAGGAGGAGGAGGAGCGAGAACTGAACTGCGTGTCTCCGAAGTCGCTCGAGTCCGCGAGCGGCAAAGGCAGGCCGGCGCCAAAGGCCTCAGAGCGCGTGGCGGTGGAGCCGGGCTCTCTGCCCAGGCCCGCGCGGAGCAGGGCTCTCCCGGCCACCCTCCTTCTCAGCACTGCCGGGTTTTCGAGGCGGCCGCCAGGCACCTCTCGGTCGCAGCGCCCATGGGCGCACGCCACCCTTTGCCCCGGGCACCCAGTCCCCGCTCACACCCCCTGAACCCGGCCCCCGGCGCGCCCCCAAAGCTTAGGGCAGCTCCTGGTATCTTGGGGGACGAAGAAGAAGGCCACAGAGCAAAGGGGGCAGTGAAGGGGAGGAGCAGTCCTGTGGGCTCGCCTGGGGTCGGGGTGCAGACACTGAGGGCTGGAAGAGGTCCGGGGTCGCGCGTGGCACCGCTCACCCTTCCCCTCCCCTGCCCGGGCTCCCGCTCCCCCTCGGCAAAGCTCCCCTCCTCCCCTCGGGCCCACTCCTCTCGCGAGGGGTTCAGTCCAGGGGATTAAGAGAAGAGGGGGGAAGGGGGAAGGGGAGGCTGCGGAGAAAGGGGACGATCCCTTCCGAGGCGGTGTTGGGTTTCAGCTCCCGACCCTCGGGCCAAGCGGCACGCCCCAGCCCGGCCCCTCGTCCCCGCACCTTCTTCCTCGGGACCAGCGCGGCCGACCGGCGGGTGGTCTGGTCTGCGCGCTCGGGGGAGCTCGGCTCGGCCCGCCACGCCCCCGCTCTCCCCCGCCAGCCCCACGCCTCTCCCTGCCTCTCTTTCATTAGCCCCACATCTGTCTTTCCCGGGGGAGGGAACGCGCCGGCTTCCGCCGCGCCGGGGTCCAGCCGGGGTTTCACCGTGCTGACTTTGCAGGGGGCGGCGGGAGCGATCCGGGGAGGTCCAGCCGGGCCCTGCCTTGGAGTCTGGTGTTGAACAAAGATCCTGGCCCTTGAGAGAGGACGCGAAGCCTGAGCCCCAGATCGCAGGCTGGCCGGCTGCGCCGCCTGTTCAGCCTCCTTTGCCAGTCTGGGCCTGTTTCTCTTCTTCGGGTTGGCTCTCGCTGCTTCTGGAGCAGTTGGGGTGGAGACCGTGGGCAGAACAGGGCAGAACTCTTTCAGAGGGCCCGGAATCGGGAGTTTCAGCTGAACCCAGGCCTTCTAAACCCTTCCTGCCGGCTCCCCCAGTCACCCCTCTTCGCCGCGCCTTACTTTGAGGAGATACACATTAGAGTTTCTGAGAGGGTTGAGAGAGACCTGTCTTCTTCCACTGGGGGAGGAGAGGTGTTCCTGGTATTTGGAAAGCAAGCTGCTAAACAGGTGGAAAGCTGTAGTGTATTTCCAGTGTTTACGTTTAACAAATGAACGCTCGAAGCACAAACCAGCGAGCTTAGACGTAACCCCTTTAGGAGAGACTATCTGAAATCCTATTTAAAGACCTCTGTGAACTAGTGGCTTTGAGACCACTCTCCACCACATCAGAGTGTTCCACAGGCATTTCACCTGTGGGGAGAGTGTTTGCTCTCATCCTTCCCCCCTCACCCCCGGAACCCTCTGCAGAGGGAAGAGTTGGCACTTAGGGGATGACTCAGTGAGAGTTTCTGCACCAACCCAGGGTGAATGGTAACGTCTCTGGCTCCGCTGTAGGGCTGGAGTGGGAACCTCATACACTGCCTGGAAACCTTGGACATACTCAGAGTCCATTACAAGAAAAGGATCTTTAAAGTGTCTAAATGCATCTGAAGCGAGAGTTCTAGCCCAGGTCCAGTTTGGCTGGAGGTGGTCACTACCCTCCAGACTCTTGGAGATGATCTGGCTTTGGCTGCCTTGACACTTGTGGGGAGTGACAGGGTATGAAGCCTACCCAGGATCACCATTAGAAAACGAAAGTGGGCAGGACTTGATGATCCCTAGACATAAATGCTCTGACAAGCACAGAAAAATAGATGCAGGGGAGGCCGGGCGTTAGTGGCGCACACGCCTTTAATCCCAGCACTTGGGAGGCAGAGGCAGGTGGGTCTCTGTGAGTTCGAGGCCAGCCTGGTCTACAGAGTGAGTTCCAGGACAGCCTCCAAAACAATACAGAGAAACCCTGTCTCTAAAAACCAAAAAAAAAAAAAAAAAAAAAAAAAATGCAGGGGGGAAGTTAAGCAGAGAGGATGCAATGTGGCATTTTGAGTGATCTCGGGGATCTCGGTGCCTCAGGAGCGAACACAGGTAAGCGCAGCCTCTGTGTTGGGAGTGAGTCCTGGCTTATTAGCTTTGCTACCTTCGTCCAAAGACCATCTTGGAGTTTTCATTCCTCCTTGCTTTGGTGAGGAGAAAACAGAGGGAAGGCTTTTCCTCCTCCCTCTAACAGCGCTTTCATGAAAACGGTGTCAGGATGTTCAGTGGGCGGTGGTGGCGCACACGCCTTTAATCCCAGCACTCGGGAGGCAGAGGCAGGCGGATCTCTGTGAGTTCGAGGCCAGCCTGGACTACAGAGTGAACGCCTGGACAGACTGCAGAGCTACACTGAGAAATTCAAAAACAAAACAAAAGAAACAAACAAAAAGCAGACAAACAAAAAACCAAAACAAAAACAATCAACCAAAACATCGCTTTCCTTTCTTCTCCCTCTCCTTTAAGGTTGAAGGCACTCAGTATTCCAACCAGGCCTCAGGGATAACGGAGCAGAAAACTCAGGGGCTGGTACCCTGCAGAGAGCAGCCTCTTGTAGTCTGGGGCCAAGGTTTGCCCTGGCCACATTGAAAGAAAGGCCTCTGCCTCCCGAGGTCTCTGTCTTCTTCCTTCTCTCCCCTCTTCCCAGGAGGATCCAGACACCTTCATTCCTCCTTGTCCCACGCCACTCTCGCCTCAGCCCCAGATTTCCATTCACATTGTCCTATTTGCGTCTGCAATGTTTCAAGCCCTTACCCACCTCTAGGATGTTGATTAGGCTACCTCCCTCCAGACCCTTGTCATGCCTAAAAGGCTTTCCCAGTTACAGTTGCCTTCCTGTCCTCTCCAGTCTCCCCACATCCACAGCAACTCTGCGCCCCTCCTACGCCATAGCGTTGATCCCTGTACTTCACTGCACTTGCTATGATAACCCTAACTTACCTTTCTCTTTGTCTGTCATCTGTCTCCCACTGTAAGCCCGAGGAGCAAGAGGCATGCCTGCCTTGTCTTCTTCTCCATTTCTAACACTCAGAATGTCAGAGCCTGGCGTGTAGTAGATGCTCAATGAATACTTGGTGAGGGGATGAGGGACATGGGAGCTGTCACTATAGGACGATGGAGTTATTCTTGGGGCGGAGCCTTTCCTGGACCCTTACACTCTTCACCTGTCAGCTCCATGTGTCTCCCAGCTCAAACTGGCTTCTCCCTGAAGGTCATCAGTCTCCTGGCCTTAATTGTTCTGTAGTTAACAATTGTACTAAAAATAGCGGGCTGGAGAGATGGCTCAGTGGCTGAGAGCACAAACTGCTCTTCCTGAGTTCAATTCCCAGCACCTACATCAGGTAGCTTACAACTGCCTATGACCCCCAGCTCCAAGGGGAACCTCACACCTCTGACCTCTGTGACCTCCGAGGGCGCTTGCATTCATGTGCACACACTCCACCTCCCCACATGTACAGATAATTAGAATAATACAAATAAATCTTTAAAGAGTGATTAGCATCCAGGGTCATTATCACTACAAATCAGAACGTGGGAATATTATGCCAGGGGTCTCCATCTTTGCCGCTGCTGGGTCCCTGGTGCGCAAGGACGTCGGTATCCTAACAACCTGTGTCCTGGCCTCTTATAAGGCGAGTGGCAATGAGCGTAATCCCGTGGATGCTGCACTGTTTCAGGGCCTTAGGTCCAGGGCAGCTAATCTTCTTGGCATCTCTAAGGTCACTAACGTCAATGTCACCCTTCCCCTCAGGAACACATCCACTATACCACATCCACTCTTACCAGTGAGGAAGGGTGTGCACAAGGAGCATCCAAGTCATGAGCAGACTGAAATTCCGAGGCAGCAGGTGAGGGCGTGCGTACCCTTTTGATAAGCAGTAGGGTAGTTGTATTCGAACACACTGCAAGCCCCAGGTGCTTTTCCAAGCAAAGGACAGAAGATGTAGCTCATCACGTTTCCCCCTGCCCTTTCCTGGCAGGTGCTCAGGGGCACAGGAGTAGGGATTCCAGCCCTGTTTGGCCATCAGGTCAGGCCCAGGCAAGCGGGGACATGTTGGGTGGGTACTCTTAGTGTCAGATCTTGGTCCAGTGTTTCTTTGCTCCCGCCTCCAGGATTCTCCCCATTGCCACCCCCACGCCCCCAAGGATTCCCTGGAAGCTGAGATGACTCAGGGATTCCAAAACTAGTCACCCCAGGAGGAAACCCTCTGGAAAATGTTTCTCATGGCAGGGAGTCACCCTAAAGAGTCCCACAATGCTACTAATGAGATAAGGGTTAGGCTGAGCAAGCAGGGTGGGGTAGGGTCTGTGGCTCGGAGACTAGGTCCATGGGTCAGCTTGGTCATTGTGGTATGGGGAAAGCCACTCCTGGGGAAGACCGTGCGCTTACAGGGATCTCCCATCTTCCTTCCAGAGGTTTCCTCTGGTCCGAGGTACAGAGGCAGAGAGAGACCCCGAATGCCTCTTGCGAAGGACATTGTCCCAGTCACCCAGGCCAGTTCCATTCTGCAGTGTCAGTAGCTGAGACAAGGAGCTGCGATCATTTTCAGCCTGAAGAGCATCCCCTTGTGCACTGGCCAAGGTCTGCTTCCTAGGGTCGTGACTGGGAGAGACCCGTATGAGTCCTGCTCTTTGAAACAGCACGGCTAGCTACTAGCTAAAGGACCCTATTCTGGGCTTGGGGTTGCTAAGGAACACCACAAGCCACCTGAGGCCATGTGCCAGACAAAAGGCTGGGAAACAGGAAGCTGGAACAATGGATCCCAGCCAGCCGGGCCGAATGCCAACGTGGGCAGGAATGCCCTGTGGTCTTGGATAGGTGTAAATGAAACAAGTCCAGCCCAAGTCCAGGTGAACAGGGACACATCCACTGTGGGGGCTCCCTTCCATCCACAGCCAGCTGAGGGCTGGCTCATGCTAGGAGCTTAGGTTTGGACTTATTGAGGGTTGGAATAGAAAACCAGCTCAGAGTCTTTCTAACTGCATAATCTTGGGTAGATTATTAAATGTTGTTGGGTCTCACTTTCCTCATCTGTAATATGAAGGCTATGGTTTTCATGTCATCGTTTTATTATCAGGGCAGAGTAAGATGATGTGGCTAGGTTCAGCACCATGTCTGGCACACTCAAGTGCGTAGGAGTAAGACCAGCAGTGCCTACAGGGAGATGGTACCCAGGAGCACTGAGGCAAGGGTGGGCACGGGCATCAGCTGAAGGTATTCTGGCCTTATTGTTCTTCCTAAGTGTCCTAACCCTGGCCACCCCATGGTTTCTCCTCAGTGCCTCCCCCTCTTCCAGGCCCCTAAGAGTCACCAAAGCAGTTTCTTCCAACTCTTGAGACTGTCCCCTGTTGCCATGACACCTCTCCTTTGAGGCTGTTTTGTCCTACTGCATCTGAAAGAGTGGTCTTCTGTGCTATACACCAACTATTCCTGGTTCCCTTTATTTACTTTCTGATCCCTTGGTTACTTCAGGAGTATTTTCTGAGGGAAAGCACATGCAAATCAGTACACATTATTCTAGAGACAATGTGTGTGAGTGTGTTGGGGTGGGGCAGAGGTCCCTGAGCAGACAGAGAAAGGCCCGCAGGAAGAGTGAACGCTGGCCAGTGTCTGCGCAGTCCTCGCCAGCAGACTGGATCTTGACTGACCTGTGTCTTTGGAATCTGTCTTCTGGAGTGCACTTACTCCCACCTGGCCAAGAGGGCCCTGTGAGAGTGTACAGGCTGAGTGGGCTCCCTTGTTACCTGAGAGCAACAGCTGTCCTTGCTGTGTCCCTGGGGTCCTGTGAGCAGGAGCGAGACCTCCTGCTGGGTCTTAGGTAACACAGTATTCTTTCCCCCATGTCCCACGTTCTCATTTGTGCAGTGTGGACAATCGCCCATAGGTTTCCGTCAGTCTTGCTCACCCAACCAGAAAACTCCTGCATATGCCGTGTAGCACTGTCTGGTGAGGGAAAAGGGCAGGGAGAGTCTAGGGACAGGGATGGCAACAGGGTAGTAAACTGAGGGGGCCAAGGGAAACCGGGGCCAGCAGTGGGCAGTAAAGGAGACCTCATACTGATAGGTGATGGTGCTCAAGAGAGGTGGAGTCGTAAAAAGGAGGGGGATCAGAGAACACTGAGGATGGAGATCAAAATGATAAAGAGGAGGGAAGTGTTCATTAAGACAGGTGATGGGAGCTGGGCAGTAGTGTCTACACACACCTTTAATCCTAGCACTCAGGAGGCAGAGGCAAATGGAAATCTGTGAGTTCGAGGCCGGCCTGGTCTACAGAGTGAGTTCCAGGACAGCCAGGGCTGTTACACAGAGAAACCCTGTCTCGAAAAATAAAAAAGAAAACCAAAAACAACAAAAAGACAGGTGATGGGGACATCTAGTAAGAAGAGGGACAGCTGGAGGTCAGATCCTGCGCAGGAGTAGCGAAAGTCTCAAAAAACGGTGACCCTGGAGGGGACACCAGATGACATTCTTTAATTTGAGGTAGTAAACCAACCAGGAAAATTCCCATCATGACAATTCACAGAGACAGAGGCAGAATTGCAGAGTGTAATACTACGACCCCCGCCCGGAAAGTGCAAGGAACACTTTACCCAATGGGCTTCCAGGCTGATAATGATGGCTGTTACAACTTCCATGAGGGCAGCATTTAAACAGCTTTTGGCAACACTTCCAGGTTTTATGTTATTGTTGGTTTTTTTTTTTTTTTGGATTTTTTTAAATCTTAGGTCACTCCCTCCAAAAGATAGTGGAAATAAATTTGAATAAACAAAACAGGTTTGCTGAAAATAAAAGCAGGACACCTCAACTGATCCAGTCAGCCTACTTCCAGAAGGACTGTCAGGCAGGGTAGTCCCTGTGGCTGAGTGAACAGTGTCCGGCATGTACCAGGTGAGTGGCCCTGATGTCTGTGAGGGAGAGGAGCTGGATGGCACTGAATGTGTAGGAGGGCTAAGCTTCCGGTTCCTGTCTCAGGCAGCTGCCAGGGGAGGCTCATGCAGGGTGGGGACCTGACAGTAGCTTTCTCCCTGGCCTCTGCTTTCAGGTTGCTGCATTCCTGGCTGTGATGGTGGGACACACCGTCAGTTCCCAGGTCCAGAGTGACTGCAGCCACTGGCCCAGCTGCTGCCCCAGCAAAGAACAAGACTCCCTTGAGTTGCCCAAGCTGAGCGCTGCATCTGTGTCTCCCCCAGAACCTCTGAGCCCCACCTACCACCCAGAATCCTGCAAGGCCAGCAACGATGGACCCCTCAACAGGAGGGCCATCTCTCCTTGGAGTTATGTGTAAGTCTGTCTACTATTCCCCTACCTGAATGCATTCATGTGTCCTCCAGGGGATGGATGAGGGACCCGGAGAGTTCCACCCCAGTTGACCTACCAGCCTCTTTTAACTGTATGGACCGGGAAGGTTTGGAAATTACGCAGGCCTGGATCTGAGCCTCAGCTCTGCTCTCATCGCATTGTGAGATGGGTGATGCTTTCCAAGTCCAGGCCGGCTTCCTTCCTCCCCTCCTTTCTCTAGATTACATTCTAGAGACCAATATATAGATCGAACAAAACAATCTATGCAGAGCCCGTATTTATGCTGATTTTGTTTCTTGTTTGGCCTGTACCATAACTCATATTTTTTCAACTAAAGTATAAGCAGTAACATGTGATGCAGACACAAAGCTGTACCAGATGCAGGAGGGGTCAGTGTGTGGCTGGATCCGCAGGCTTGTTATCCTTAGTTACATGGGTATTACAGTTCTCTGTGCCATGGTATGACATTGGGACAGAGAAGCCACGTATTACAAATTAGAGTCTTAGGGATCCTAAACATATTCCTGCGGTTCTGTATTTCCCCAGGGTTCTGTGCTCACACTCTCCATGTGTCTCAGTTGCTTAGCCTGGCCTTTGAGGGGCGTGGAGATGTTCTCCAGTATAGGGAGCTGGTCAGCTGAAACACCAGCTCCTAATACTTCAGAATAGTCTCAGAGGCTGTCTGGAAAAATCTGTTTGTGAGGTGCTGAGGGGGACTCAGCCCATCCTCTTTTCTGAGAGGCAGCGAACCCTAACAACCACTTAGCAGACCTTCTCCGATGTATGCTCTATACAACACTTGCCCCACAAGCTGTCTCTCAGGGGAAAAAAAGTGATGGTATCAAGTGAATTTGGGAAAGACTACACAGCCCCACCCCTTCATAGTGATCTCCACCCATTAAAGTTGGCAAGAAATCTACAAGAAGGGACCATTAGTTGTCCCTAAACTTTTGATTGCAGAAGCTTTAAAAACAAACAAGCAGACAGGGTATTTTAAAAATTAATTTGTTTTTATTTTATGTGCACCAATGCATGTCTTGCTTGCATGTTTGTCTGATCTTGGAGTTACTGACAGTTGTTAGCTGCCTTGTGAGTGCTGGGAATTGAACCCAGGTCCCCTGGAAGAACAGTCAGTGTTCTTAGCTGCTGAGCCATCTCTCCAGCCCCCTGCTTCTCCAGAGTAATGCTTGTAGTAACTGAACCCTAATTTCCCAGGGTTTGTATGGGAAATGATTCTAACATATTGGGGCTTCCTGCTAGGTTACTGGACACAATATTTTATTTTTAGTATCATTTGTTTTTTTGTGTGTTTTTTTTTTTTTTGGTCTGGTTTTGCTTTTAGCTGCCACAAATCTTTTCTGAATAGGCAAACAATTCTTGTCCACATCCTAAATGTGCTTGGAATATATGCTTGAACAGTATCTGAAGGGTGGACATGATGCAGCTCTCCCTGGGGAGTGAGACCAGTGTTTGTTATGTATCCTTTTATGCTTGGTGTTCAGGCAGGTGGGGTTTTTGTTTGCTTGTTTTGTGATACAGGGTCTCACTCAGTAACCCTGCTGGACTAGAACTCGCTATGTGGCGCAGGCTAGCTTCAAACTCATGGCACCCAGCCTCTCAAGTGCCAGTATTACAGGCATGTGCCACCAGTTTTTAGTATTGTAATAATCGTAATTGTAAAAGCCCCCAAAACGTCTAATACCTTGCTAAGAAGCCTCATGCCTATCAGAAAGATGCAGGGCTGGGCTGGTAGAGGCTGCCAGGAGGCTACTCCCCTTTCTCTGCTTCTAAAAGGAGTTACTATGGCTATGCAGTGCCACTAGGAAAGCCAGTCTTTTGTGCCCTACCTACACTATCGTTGGAGGAAATAAAATCTCAGAGAGCAGAGGGGTGCCAGACGGATTTAAGAAGTCGAGTCCATATCCACACCGTTTCTTCCCCACCTGCTGCTTGTCTCTGGCCTGTTCCTCCAGAACTGATGAGCTTTGTTCCCACAGGTTGGACAGGGACTTGAACCGGGTCCCCCAGGATCTGTACCATGCGCAGTGCCTGTGTCCACACTGTGTCAGCCTACAGAGGGGCTCCCACATGGGCCTCATGGGCAACTCAGTACCACTCTACCACAACCAGACGGTCTTCTACAGGCGGCCATGCCACGGACAGCAGGGCTGCCGTCATGGCTACTGCCTGGAGCGCAGGCTCTACCGTGTCTCCTTGGCTTGTGTCTGCGTGCGGCCTCTTGTAAAGTCGTCTTAGTCACGCTTGCCACCTTCCTGAGGCTGACACCTTGCATGGCCATGGTAGGGCTCAAGCCCTCCAGAGCCCTACCTGAAGCACCAGAGTCCCGGGACAAGATGGAGAACTTGGGAGGAACCCTGACTTTTGCACTTTTTGAAGAACTTTTGGGAAGGAGCAGTTTCAGTTTGTGGCTGCTGGAAGATGCTGTCGTGGCATTCCCTCTCAAAAAAGGTCTCCAAAGGCCTGCTGATGCCTGGAAGCCAGGCTGCTGGCCCTCCCTTCCCTCTGAGTTCCCCGGTCCAGCACAGGCACTTTCTCCATTTTCCCCGTTTGCCCTTCATTTTGCTGGCTTGTGAATGCCAACTCTGCAGGCAGCCAGTCATAATTCCTTTGATGTGGATAATTCGGAGGAGAAGAGAGCTGTTATTGAACGTGAGGAGATTTATCCGAATAAATATCTGTGTTTAAAAATGATCTCGTCTCTCTTGAGCATCCATGGTACCTGAACATCCTGGAGCCTCCAACTGGGTGCTTTCTCCTCTTCCAGCACTTTCTCTGCTCTGCCACTCTTCCGGGTCCATTGCAAACATCCATCTCCTCCCCTGGTCCATCCTGAACATAAGGGTGGGGGTCAGACAGCTCAACATGGGGAGAGACAGAAGCCCATTGAGGCACTGCGGTAGGCGCACAGCGCCCCCTTGTCTCCCCAACAATCCCCCTTTGTCCGCTGGCCCTGGCTGTTGCGGCTTGGTCCAGCAGGGTACTGGCTGGGCTGGGCTCCAGTTCCCACCTCCCTTAAAGGAAAAGAGAGAAGGGCCCAGCCAAGGAAGAGGGTTAAGGTTATGGGAGGGGGCATAAATGTCTTTGGGCTTTGCTTGCCGAGGAACTCCTTGCCCTGCCTCTGTCTCGCACGCCCCAAACCCTCTGGTTTCTATCTCATCTCTCTACTTCTCCCTGTTCTCTCCAGCTTGGGTTAGGTTAGAGGAAGAGGAGGGTTAACCTCCCCTCCCTCACCCCTCCCCATGCCTCCCGGGGCCCGGCGAGCAAGAGCAGAGCCTCCCTGGGTCCTGCCTTCTCCCAGAGTCCCACAGCAGGTCCCAGCTTTGCTTCCAGGCTCTTGAAGTGCCCTCTTCCTCCTGTCTGCTCCCCTCACCAGATTGCTGTTTCCTTTCCTGGGCTGTTGGGAGTCTGGTGAGGGAGAATCTGTGCCCTGTGAGCCTCAAGACATGTTCAGTGCTTGGGATCGCCGGGAGCGGCCCCCAGAGGAAGGAGCAGCCGCAGGGCTCCAGGGCTTCGGTGTGGACAAGACCTTCCTGTCTTCCCTCAAAGGCATCCTGCTGGAAACGGAGCTGGTAACAGCCGCCTCCCCAACCTGGTGCCTCCATGTCTCCCATCCCAGCCACGGGTGCAGACCTCCACTGGCCTCCTGTGCTCACCCTTCCCAGGCCCCTCCCGGGCTCTCTGTCTTCCACTCCAGGTGCACCCTCTAGGACTGCTAGTTCCCTGGCTGCTTCTCTCTCGGGACAGTTACAGCATGTATCATTTGCTGCTGGACTGACGTTAGATGGAAAGATAGCTTTCCAGGATCCTGAGGGAGTGAGGACGTGGGTGGGGAGAGGATGGCCAGGAAGGAGGTTCCTCTGTCTCCCTCCAGTTCTAGTAAGGCTACTTCTTGGCATCCAAAAGGGTAGAGTTCCTGCAGCCATGTCAGCGGAGGCCCACGGCCACCCCCTCGGCAGCAGCCCACGACCACCCCCTCAGCTTTCCCTGGTTGCCGAGCCAATCACAGTGCTAACACAGGGACACTTTCCCACCTGCCGCCCCATGTGCAGCAGGCTCCTGCCTTCTAAGCCCCTCAGCGTGGAGCCAAAGTCTCCGGGTCTTGCCACCTGAGTTTTAACAGTCTGGAGGAGCCGTTGGAGTAGCTTTTGGGGGCAGAAGTGCTATAGGCGTGCGTGCACAGTGACCTGTGCCCCAGGGACTCCCCTGGGGATAGGCAGATTGACCAAACAAGCAGAGTTGTTGGCATAGCAGGAGTGGGATCATGGAGATGCCCGTGATGGTTCTGGACACCAGGGGTGGGACACTTGTCTTCATTGAGAACTCTTCCTCCTCAGTGAGACTGGGGGCGGGCCGCTGTGACCTGATCTATGCACGGGTCTCCTCAGAAAGCACCCCCCTTGGTCCCGCAGGCCCTGACCTTCATCATCTTCATTTGCTTCACGGCCTCCATCTCCGCCTACATGGCTGCCGCGCTGCTCGAGTTCTTCATCACGCTGGCCTTCCTCTTCCTCTACGCCACCGGGTACCACCAGCGTTTCGATAGGCTGAACTGGCCGTGTCTGGTGAGGAGCACTGCCTGCCTCTCCCACTCCACCCTGCGCTCTTCTCTCTCTCCTAACTCTGCTGCTGTCTCTCGGCCCCTCCATTTCCACAACCAAGCTGCGCGCTGACTCACCGTGTGTCCTAAGCTCAAAAGTGAACTTTGGCCCATCAGAGCGCCCCTGCCAAGGAGACATACAGACCCTAGGCCTGCTGTCCCACACATCCAAGACACAGCTCAGTCCAGCTCCATTCGGCTGTGCTCACTGGTGTCCCCTCTGATCTAGATTTGTCTGCTCCCATCCTCTGGGTAGTGTTGTGAGCTCACTCCCTTGAAAGAATTTCACGCGTGTCCGGGGGCAACCCTGGGCAGGAATTAAGTCTCTGGGGATCAGACTGGGGAAGGTGAAACTTGGGACCCTCCGGGTAACAACCCTAAGCTTCATTGCCTCTGGCTCCCCAGGACTTCCTCCGCTGTGTCAGCGCCATCGTCATCTTCCTGGTGGTCTCCTTTGCCGCTGTGACCTCGAGGGAGGGAGCTGGCATTGCTGCTTTTGTGAGTCCATCCCTGCTGTGATCTCCAGGTCCTCCCACCCCGGGACTTGTGGCTGGAGTATTGGCATACTTCCTGTGTCCAAACCAAAGTCTGCGTCTGCTCATGCCTCGTCCCCACTTATTGGCAGCCCTACTGTCCTAGTCTGGCAGCCTCTGCTGTGTCACCCCAATTCCTTTTTCCCTCACAGGTTTTTGGCATCATCTTGGTCTCTGTCTTTGCCTATGACGCATTCAAGATCTACCGAACTGAGTTGATGACCAGGACCACTGAGGGTGAGTGTCTATGCCCTGAGAGTGGAGATGCCCCTACCTCTGCCACAGATATTGCAGTCATACACGGTTTCCCTGCCTGGCTGCATTTCCACAGGGGACCAACAGTGATTCCGGGTTACCTGGCTCCCACAGCCAGACACAGGAAGCACAGAGCCCAGATTTGTCATCTTTGGATTCTCTGAACTGCCCAAGTGCCATCATCTATCTATTTCACATCTATAGAGGCGTGTGCTTGAGAAGTCCCAGGGGACCCGTGAGAGATGGTGAAGTTATGGGGGTCGGGGTAGGTCGCTGTGCCTCCAAGTCATTCCCACATTAAAAAAATTCAAATCCTAGTGGTAGGTCTTCTTCCTTGAAAATCATACAGTAAGGAAGCCAAAAAGTTACTCATGATCTATAGGAAAGAGTGACCCAGACAGCCGAGATCCCCCTGTGCGGTGAGTGACTGAAGGTTAGAGTGAAGAAACTGACAACATCTCTCAAAGGCAGAACTTTATACCTCGGCCTGACACATCAGAGGAAGTGCCAAAGTGCTATGTGCCGGGCTGCTTGGGATTGAGACGTTGACTCGGATTTCCTGATGCTAACAGCCCAGCACACCTGTTAGGCATGGGGGGTTATAAGGGCCTTCTCTGGGGTTTGTGTAAGAGCTCCCTCTTGTGGTATGGTGAGGGCTGGGAGGGCAGACCATAGGGAAGAGGACAGTCAAAGGTCTTAAGGAGAAATTCCTAAAATACCAGCAGCTGTAAGAAAAGCTGGTCACATGCCCTCCTTCTATTTAAGAGGAAAGTGACCTCTGTATTTGTAGCAGAGCTGGGTCTAGAACTCTCGACACTGAAACAGAACGGTCTTGATCTAGATACTGTTTTGATTGGACCCACTTGCCCAGCTTGCCACTTCCTCCGAACACATTTCCTGTGTCTTTCCTGTCTGCAGAGCCTATGCTTGGCACCAGAGATTCAGAGGTAACAGTTGGGCCTGAAAGGACACATTGGCTTAGAGAGGAGGAGCTGTCCGTCCATGATAGTCTGGTTTAGACAGAATTTCTCTGCCCAGCTGGAGGAACCCATCATGGTCCATATAAGAGGCTCCACTCCAGCTGACTTCTTGTTCCCTCTCTTCAATGCTCTGCTCTTTTCCTGAGATGCCCTTTTCCCTCTAGGCTCGGCCTTTTGGCTGTGGGCTGTGGCCACAAACGCTGCCTGTGTCCAGGGTGTTGGACTTGGGGGTAGCATAGTGCCATGCTTCTCTCTGATGACTATACTTCTCTTGAGTAGGTTTCCCTGCCTCCCGTTTCCTGTCTCCCTATCACCAGGCCAGGCACCTGCTCCAGGGAAGGAGCCGACTGGACGCTGGGTTTCCCTGGACTCTGCTCAGGGTTCTCAGGCTTTCCACATAGTGGGCACTTGAGTCTAGACTGCCGTGGTCAGGAGGATGGAGGTAGGATGGGCACAGTCTCAGAGGAGAGATGGGAAGGCTGGGCCAAGGAAGCAGGGAGAAGCGTGGAGGTGGAAAGATGCAAAAGGGGTCTGGAGAACCTCCCCCAAATTCTCAAGAGAGGGCACGGGTTCGCTTTCCAGCAGATCTCAGCTCTATCCCCCAGGCGGCTGAGTGTCTGGTCCTCCAAGGAGCTTAGAGTATGTGTGGGGAGGGGGTGGCTGGACTTACACCCACCTGCGTACATGCACCTATGTATGCCCGTGTGAAGGGATGCTAAGTGAGGACTGTGCCAGCTTGGTCCATACCCCACACTGATTTGGGTTCAGCATTATCTGGTGCTCGAATCCTGGAATGCCCTCCTGGTCAATCCTGATTCACAGGGCCTAGGACTGATCCTGGGGGTAGGAAGATGTGCCCTGTGGGCTCCATCTACGAGGGGAGTGGGACCTCAGCTGTTTCCTGAGCACCCCGCTTCCATCCTCAGCAGTGTGAGGGTGGCGTCAGGAGGAAGCTCACTTCAGAAAGAACACGGGCCCAGGACACTCTTAGCTTCTGCCAGCTCAGAGGTGGAGTGTTTGGGGCCAGTTCCACCTCCGCATTCAATTTCCCCGCCGCTGTGCCTAGCGTCTGCTTTCTGTTCAGTGCCTTTGTTCTTTCTACCCTCCTAAGGGGTTGTTGTTCTGCTGTTTCTGAGGCAGGGTCTCACATTGCTTTCTAGCGGAGGCTGCCTCTTGGTTCCACCTCCTGTGTCCTGCTGAGACTCTAGGCTTGGGTCGTGGCACCTGGCTTTTGTTTCTCCCATTCCCTTTAGTTGTGCAACTGACCATGCAGAGCAGGGCCTGTAGCTGTGCTACCCGGGACAGGGCACCCCACTTCTCTTTTGGTCTCTTCCTCCACAGATATGGGGCGCTTTTGACCCCACGGCTCTGACACAAAGACTGTGGCCACCCTCCTCTTGGGCCACCAAAGTCCCCACCTCAGATGGACAGGGGGTAGAAAGGACAGAGGGAACAGGCAGAGTCAGGCATTCGTGTTTATTGTGGGCTAGCAACAGCAAGGCCTGCGGGCAGCATCATTCTTCATCGTGCATCTTCTGCTGAGGAAGGAATAAGAGGCGTGAGGGCAATGGGCAAGATGGTCTGGGAAGGAGTCCCTTGAGCTTTCAGTGGCTTTAGGAAGATGCCATTGGCCCAGGGGTAGGCGTGGGGATAAACCTCAGGGACCTTGACGTCTCACCATAGGGGTGCTGGGAGCTCAGAATGCAGATCTAGGGCTGCTGTCAGCGGGAGAGTGGATTCTCAGGGTTAGGTGTCTATGGGACCCTCAGGTTGTGCGTATTGCCTATTCTCCACATGTCTAAATGCATTCGGGATACAATGCAGCTGCTCAGAGAGCAGCACGCATTCAGGGACATCCTGGTGAGAGCATCACTGGCAATCTCAGGGGAGGAACCAACCTTGGCACCGATGTCACGGCTCTTGGCCCGCAGCTTGTTGACCTGGGACTCGGCGATGTCGGCCCTCTCCTCTGCCTCGTCCAGTTCATGCTGCACCTTGCGGAACTTGGACAGATTGGTGTTGGCCTGCTCCTCCTAGGAGCCGGTAAAGGGAGGGGTAAGAAGGGGCCTGGCCTCTTAGCCCTTCAGTCTCGGGGACTGGCACCCCATGTCCCTCCTCCAGGCCTCAGCCCCAGCAGGGTCACTCACCGCCTCCTCAGCCTGGCGCTTGTAGGCCTTCACCTTCAGCTGTAGCTTGTCTACCAGGTCCTGCAGCCTCACCAGGTTCTTCTTGTCCTCCTCTGTCTGGGGGCGGTGGGAGGGAAAAAGCCAGTTTTGGGGGAGAGGAGCAAGTGTGGTCATCGTTTCCTGCTCCCTCATTCTGCTCTCCTGCCCAGGGCTCAGCGGCTTCTCCCCGCCAGTGGCTGTCAGGGGGTGCTGTCTCTCTTTGTAGGCCAACGGGAATCTTAGCTGGGGACCCACAAACTAATGAGTGTTGGGATGCTGTGAGGTTTTCAAAGCCACAGGGAACTTCTTCATGTGGTCATGTGGAGGCAGAGTGTCTGTCTGGCCTCCATCTGATGAATAGAGTTCCCCTTGCAGAAACAGGGGTACTTTCGGTCAGTGGTTCTAAGGTGACCAGAAGAGGAATAGTAAAGAAAGCAAAAGAAAAGCTGGTGTTGGCCGGGCGTTGGTGGCACACGCCTTTAATCCCAGCATTCAGGAGGCAGAGGCAGGCGGATCTCTGTGACTTCGAGACCAGCCTGGTCTACAATAGCTAGTTCTAGGACAGCCTCCAAAGCCACAGAGAAACCCTGTCTCAAAAAATCACACACACACACACACACACACACACACACACACACACACACAAAGAAAAGCTGGTGTTATCCTTGTCTAGATTATTCTAATTAACAGAGCCCACTATTCTGACACGTTCTCCCCAGCCAGAATTTGGGAAGCAAGGTCAGTGACTCCAATGACCCTTGGCCATTCCTGTCCCCATGTCATTTGATGCTCAAGGATGCCACTGCACTTTTGTCCACCATAGGTCTGCAATATTTACACTAAGCCTCTTGTATCCCCTTCTTAAATGGGCCAAATTTACCCATCTCCTTAGCATTCTCTTCCAGAAACTGAAAGCAGTAGGTCAATGGGCAGACACTCTGAGGTGGTGCACTAAGGCCCTCCCTGGCTTCCCTTAGTTGTCCCAGTAGTTCCACAGAGGGCCTCTGCTCTCTCCCGTGGACTGGCTCCTGTCCCTAAAGTGTCATATGGCGTCTTCTTGTGTCTGACTGGATTCTTTGGGTTATTCCGAAGCTTTCATTGTAGCACTTTGAAATACTAAAAAGCCTGGGGAAATGTTGAGTGAAATCGCTTTGGGGAAGTAGGAGTCTCCATTTACTGCAAAAATCCCTGTGCTCAAGCGGAACAGCCTCGGGAACGTGTCGGAGAAGCTGCAGAGAACATCTAGAGGTGCTGGTGAGAAGGGTGCCTGCCTGGCACTATGAGCGATGGCCCAGCACAGCAGGGCCCTCTCTGAGCCCAGAGGTGGGCTAGCAAAGCCATCGCTGCGAGCTGGTGCCCCGCCGAACCTGGTAGGTGAGCTCCTTGATGCGCCGCTCACTCTTCCTCATGCCCTTCACGGACTCGGCATTGCGCTTCTGCTCAGCCTCCAGCTCGTTCTCCAGCTCGCGGACCCGGGCCTCCAGCTTCTGCAGCTGCTTCTTGCCACCCTTGAGCGCGATCTGCTCGGCTTCGTCCAGCCGGTGCTGCAGGTCCTTGATGGTCTGCTCCATGTTCTTCTTCATGCGCTCCAGGTGGGCGCTGGTGTCCTGCTCCTTCTTCAGCTCCTCCGCCATCATGGCGGCCTGTGCACGCGAGAGGGGGGCGCGTGGTCTGCTCGGGTCCTGGTGGGCTCCCTGCGCGGGCTGGGGGGATGCTGGCCTGGAGTGGGGAGGTGGGGAGGGGGACTCACATCTGTGATGGCTTTCTTGGCCTTCTCCTCCGCATTCCTACACTCCTGCACCGCCTCTTCCACCTCGGTCTGGAGCTGGGTCAGGTCTGCCTCCATCTTCTTCTTCTGGTTGATGAGGCTGGTGTTCTGGATATGAATAGAGAAAAGTATCAAACACACACACACACACACACACACACACGCACACACACTATATATATATATATATATATATATATATATATATATATATATATGTTTTTTTGAGATAGGGTTTCTCTGTGTAACTTTGGAGGCTGTCCTGTAACTCACTCTGTAGACCAGGCTGGCCTCAAACTCACAGATCCGCCTGCCTCTGCCTCCCTAGTGTTGGGATTAAAGGCGTGCGCCACCAACGCCTGGCTTGGAACCATAGTTTTGTTCAGAGAAAATTAGAAGGGGTC